GCTCAGTCCATATCCTAAGGAAGTCCCCATCACACAGTCGGGGGAGGGTAAGCACCCAGCCTTTCCCCTGGGCAGCGAGGGAGGAGTCACAACATGCAATGAATGCTCTTTCCAGTAGCATCTGCCCACCTCCCACCCCTGCTTGTGTATTAAGTCTGGCTTGGGGGGGGGGGGGGGGGTCAAGCCTTCAACAACAGGTTGACGAGAGTGCCCTGTTGTAGTGGATGCTGTGGTCTCTGCCCAGATCTGTCCTCAAGACTGAGGCCCACATTGCCTCCGTGTACCTGTGAAATCGCTCTAAGCTGAAGAAAAGTACCTCACCCAAGGTCATGTCCCCTTCCCAGGGGCAATGTGCATCCATGACTGGTTGGTCCATGTAGACGTATAAAGACCCGGCCTCCTTGCCTCAACAGGGGGCAACTCTGCAAAACCACCGCAGCTCCAAAGCTAATGGAGGGCCTTCGTGGTGACTGCATTGAAGTTCAACCAGCCCAGCCCTACTTCCTTTGTTCTCCCACAGGTGCTGATCCCCGAACACTCCCGAATAAACCTCCTGTACACAAGTCTCCACCAGAGAGTCTTTTCCTGGGAACTTGACCTGTAACACTTGGTGAATCCATAGATGATGGTCAGTCTCACTCTCACTTTAGAATCTGATAACTATTGAATTGGTAGCCGAGTCAAAATTGAGGGGAAAGTAGTCCCACTTAGCACCATATTTATGATAGTAACAACCAAAGAGAAACTGATTAATAAATCATGGCAAAACAGCCTCATGAAATATCAAGTACCCAGCAAAAATTGTAAACATTTTGCAGCAAAATATTCCAGAAAAATGACCATGGTCTAATTAATATTAAGAGAACAGAAAATTGATTCTGGATTGGGAAAAAAGCAACAAAGAACATCTTTGGAGAAATTTGAATATAGACTCTGTACTAGATAATATTGTTGCATCAATGCTAAATTTCTTGGACATGGTCATAATATTGTCAGGCAGGAAAATGTCTTTGTTTTTTAAGAAATCCTGCTGAAGTATTTATAGGTAAAATCTTGTGATGCCTGCAACTTGTTTTCAAATGGTTCAGCAAACAATCATGAGCAAGAGAGAGAGAGAGAGAGGGAGAGGGAGAAGGGAAGGAAGAGGGAGTAAGAAACAGAGCAACCAAAGAGCAAGAATATTCACTTCCTAGTGATCTTATTCCCATTCCTGTGCTAAATGCTCCCCCTTGTGTACCAAAAGAGCAGAATGCAGTCATCAAAATGCATTTAAAAACTCCCCTGCACAGTGGGAATGCAAGATGCCAAGATTTAAAGGAGGCCTTCAAAGTGTGGCATGTTTTAATGTATTCTTTCCCAATCCCCAAACAACAGTGTAGTTCACGTCACCCCCCACTTTGCTCTCCATGATGTCAAACTCTGACCTTCAGTTCTGGTGGAGGGAGGGCAGGGTTGGCAAAGGGGCAGGGAGGAGAGTACCGATTGCCTTGCCTGTGAAGGGCACAGGCTCCGGAGTCAAATAGATCAGGGGCTGCATCCCACTTTGTCCACTTATTGGCTGGGTGACCTCTTGGAGCAGTGGTTCTCAACCTTCTGGCCCTTTAAATACAGTTCCTCATGTTGTGACCCGACCATAACATTATTTTCGTTGCTACTTCATAACTGTAATGTTGCTACTGTTATGAATCGTCATGTAAATATCTGAGATGCAGTATGGTCTTAGGCGACCCCTGTGAAAGGGTCGTTCGACCGCCAAAGGGGTCACGACCCACAGGTTGAGAACCGCTATCTTGGCGCATCAGCTTCCTCATGAGTGAAGCAGGAATGATAATGGAATGAAAGGGTAACTGGGAGGATTAAATGAGACCATGCAGACCAAGACATAGCATAGGGAGTGGCCCATGGTCTAATTAGAGTTCAATAAGCATTAACCAATTATTATGACCTATTAATCTCTTCTTGAGGAGGCTTCTAAACGAGTTCCTTAGAAGTCCTAGTGCCTTGTAGAGCATAATTTGAAAAATACTGTTCTAGAATATCGGATTTGTGGACTTTACTCTTTGGTGTGAATCCATCCAGTGTTTTTCGGACAAAACTATTACTAATGACATATGAAAGACAAAAAATTTAAAAATTACCCTTCAAGGATACATGCACTGAAAGGGTTATGTCATTGGATTTATCTTCCCTCATAAGTGATTTCCAAGAAAATAGACTTTTTGAGTTCTCCACCAATTTGCTGCTCAACATTGTGTCTCCTCTGGGTCTTCAGCTTTTGACACTCTAACCATGGTCTCCTCCAAGGCAGTCAGTCTCACTCCCATATCAAGATGCCCAAAGCAGACCTGCAACAGGGACTGTAGGGGAGGGGGATTGGCATCCGCTATATCTTCTTTCCCTCCCCCCCATTTATTGAATAAGATATTACAAATGTGTCCTTATCCCCCCAATGTCCCCTCACCCCCCCCAGTCCTGCCCTCACCCTCACCCGCTGTTGTCCACATCCATCACTTATGCTTATATGCATGCATACAAGTCCTTTGGTTGATCTCTCCCCCTCACCACCACCCTCCCCTGCTTTCCCTCTAAGTTTTGAGCATCTGATCGATGCTTCTCTGTCTCTACACCTGTTTTTGTTCATCAGTTTACGTTGTTCATTATAATCCACAAATGAGTGAGAGCATGTGATATTTATCTTTCTCTGACTTATTTCACTTAGCATAATGCTCTCCAGCTCCATCCATGCTGTTGCAAATGATAGGAGTTCCTTCCTTTTTACAGCTGCATATTATTCCATTGTGTAGATGTGCCAAAGTTTTTTAATCCATTCATCTGCTGATGGGCACTTAGGCTGATTCCTAATCTTAGCTATTGTAAATTGTGCTGCTATGAACATAGGGGTGCATATGTCCTTTCTGATTGGTGTTTCTGGTTTCTTGGGATATATTCCTAGAAGTGGGATCACTGGGTCAAATGGAAGTTCCATTTTTAGTTTTTTGAGGAAACTCCATACTGTTCTCCACAGTGGCTGCGCCAGTCTGCATTTCCACCAGCAGTGAACGAGGGTTCCTTTTTCTCCGCATCCTCGCCAGCATTTGTCATTTGTTGATCGCTGTATCTTCTGAAGAACTATTTTGGACACATGAGATGACAAAAGCCCTGAGCAGCGTGCCTGGCAGATCATTAAGTATACTTACTAGTAAAAGTAAAGGTAAGACAAAGACAGAGCACGTTAAACATGCGATTTTCTTGCCCGGCCAGCATTGCTCAGTGGTTGAGCGTCAACCTGTGAACCAGGAAGCCACAGTTCGATTCCCGGTCAGGGCCACGCCCAGGTTGCAGGCTTGATCCCCAGTAGGGGGCATGCAGGAAGTAGCCAGTTAAAGATTCTCTCTCATCATTGATGTTTCTCTCTCTCTCTCCCTCTCCCTTCCTCTCTGAAATCCATAAAGATATTTTTTTTAAACCTGTTATTTTCTCCTTGCTTCCTTTTCAATCTTCAACTACCACAAACCCTAACAAATTCTCAAAAACAAAATGTGCAGATCCATCCTTCCCCCCCACCCTTTCCACAGAGGCCTCCCCAGCCCTGACCTCCATCCATTTGCATGTGGAGCCCTTTTCCCTCTGGTCTCCTCCCTCTCTCCCCCCAACCTGCCAACCACAGTGCAAGGACACTCCATGCTTCCTGTTTAAGAGCTCGCCACCAACGCCCCCCGCCCTTTCCTATAAGATTAAGCCCTAAATCTCACCTGGTGGTTCAAGGCTCTCAGGTATTAAAGACACCTGCATGCCAAGACAGGCCACCCATTTCTGTGCTAGGTGCTCACTTCTATATCCACCATGTTCCTCAGTCTCGAGGCCAGCATGAGAAGGAATGCCCTGATTTCGCCTTTGCACTTACTCCAGTGTGTCTGGATCTATGCTGTGGTCATTCTGGAGTCAGACCCAGGTTCAAATCCCGTTCCTCTATGTATTAATTGCATTCCTTTGGAAAAGTTGCCCGTGCCTGTTTTCCCATCTGAAAAACAGGGATAATAATAATCCCTAGGGTTGTTGTGAGGATAACTTTATACACAACAAGTGGCTTGGAGTAGTGCCTGATCCTAAATGAGTGCTATCCTTACGGGTTCCCATAAGTTGTTATTTTCAGATTCTTAAAAGAAATCAAGAAGTAACTACTAAGCTTTTTCTCTCTTTCTGAACCTTTCTGCACCCATATTGCAGCTCAAAGCCACATATGGCCCAGAAACACACCCCTTATCAGCACACACAGCTCCTGAGCTGCTGAGAGGACTCTCTTACTCACAGCACTGAAACCAAAGGTGAGAACTGTTGAGCAAACAGCTAAGAGCAGTAGAACAGAAAAACAACTTGGAGCATTTTTTCTCAATCCTCTGTCTCTCCTCACCTGAACATGACCTTCAAGTTCTGTCAGTGTGGCCCTGGCTGATGTGCCCAGTTGGTTGAGCATCGTTCTGTGTACCAAAAAGTTGCTGGTTCGTTTCCCAGTTGGATCCCCAGTAAGGGGTGTGCAGGAGGAAGCTGATTGATGTTTCTCTTTCACATTGATATTTCTCGCCCCCTGCCCCCGCCTTTCTCTCTCTCTCTAAAAATTAATTTAAAATCTTAAAAAGAAAAAGTTCTGTGTGTATCACACATCCTGGCTTTTCCTGCTGCTCAGTGCAACTTGAACTACAGATAGCCTCTGAAGCTATACCTGTTAAAAGCTGTGTTTGTTAAAAAAAAAATTTTTTTTTTGAGTTGTGTGGGTAAATGTGTGAGGGGAAGGTGTGATTTATTCATTTTTTACTTCAATTCTATTTTTAATAAGTAATATATTACACAGGTCTCACAAATCTTTTTTTTTTTTTTTGAACAGACATATGCACCCGTGTTTATTACAGCATCGTTCACAACAGCCAGGAAGTGCGGACAGCCTAGTGCCAGCGATGGATGAATGCATGAAAGAAGGAGTGACACACACACACACACACACACACACACTGGAATATTATTCAACCTCGAGACAGGAGAAAATAATGCTGTCATATGTGAAACATGGGTGGACCTTGAGGACATTACGCTGAGACAGAGAAAGACCAACCCTGCATGATGTCCCTTATAGGTGGAATCTGAAACAAACAAACAAAACAAAAAGGACTAAAAAAACAAGGAGTGGGCTGGTGGTTTACCCAAGGCTGATGGGTGGGGACAGGAGAGTGTGAAGGGCACATACTTGCAACTAGTAGGTCAATGATTCCTGGAGGTCTCACAAATCTTAAACACACAGACGAACATGCAATGACATTTTCCTCCCCTCGCTGACCTCAGCTCCCCAGTTGTCTCCAGGGGCAACCAATGTTACCAGTTTCTTTGGGATATTGGATATTCTTTTAGATATTATATATAAATACAAGCAAGTACATTTATATTATTTCTCTTTGTGTGTATGAGATATGGTAGCTTTATTCTTTTTTATTTTTTTATTGAACTTATTTGGGTGACACAGGTTAATAAAATTATATAGGTTTCAGGTGCAGAATTCTATAACACATCATCTGTACACTGTTTTGTGTATTCGCCACCCAAAGTCAAGTCTCCTTCCATCACCATTTATCCCCCTGTACCCTCTTCTACTTCCCTCCCATTTCTCTTTTAATACCCACTCTCTCACTTGCTTTCTAAACTTAACTTTACTAACTACTTAGCACATGCAAAAGAGTAACAAAAACAACCGTCTTCATTTATTTTCGTATTTTCTTCTCCAGTTGTATCATAATTCACTCCATCAGTTCCCACGGAGGAGCCCCCAAGTGGTTTCCAATCTTTTGTTATCCACAGTCCTATACTGACTAACACTGTTTGTCCATCATCCTACATAAGTGCAGTGTATCCATAAGATCCAGTCCTACATGGGAATTACTCAGTCAAAGGGTATGTTCATAGGTCACTTTTAGAGTTAAATATCTGGATTGCCCTCCATAGAGATAGCACCAAATTGATTTGTTCATTTTTATGTTGCCAAAAAGCCTAGAGGTTCAATAGCTGGCAGTCATTTAAGTGACAGAGCTAAGAGGATTTGGAAAACAGAAAGGATCTCTTTACAATGACATTTATTGGGTTGTACACTTGAAACCTATATGGTTTTGCAAACCAATGTCATTCACAATAAGTTCAATTTAAAAAAATTACATTTAAAAAATAAGCACTATCTATTGTTTTTTAACCATGAGGTAATCATATCAAACAACTCCTGGCTCCTTCAGTGCTTGGTGAAGAGTCCAAATATATCCTTTTATTCTGGTTTAATTCCTACAAGGATTGATATTGCTCGGAACTGCCCAGAAGAATTCTTTCCTGTTATGAAGTAATTATTGACTCAGGTTCCACAATACTCTTTTGCAACTTTGTTTACTTTAAAATGCCTAATGCCTTAGATATTTAACATGTGCATCTTGGGTTCCAAGTTTTGAAATAAAAATCCCGGCCATATATAAGATCACTCGACATACAAAAGCATTAGGAATAAGCAGGGTGGTTATTTACGGAAGTGCTTGTCCGGAAATGTAGCCACTGTCGGATTACAGGAAACTCTGAAAGGGAACGTCACAGCCTCTGGAATCTGGCGGTGAAGACTCAGTAACTAAAGACAGTGAGTTAAAGTGACGTTCCCAAAGCCAGCATTGCTTCTGATCATGAACTTATTCACAGCAAAAGAAGTGAGTCCATGTGCTGTGGTGCCCCAGGATGCTCTCTGGCCTGACCATGTCCCCGTGACCCAGAGTAGCTGGTCGTCTGGATGGTAGAATGAACGGCCCATGGAAGGCTGAGGCACGGCACCAGCTTGGGGACACCACCCGTGACACTGGGGTTCTGTCCTGTAGGATATGCTTTGAGCCAGTGACAGTGCTGCCAGAATTCATGGGTCTGGGCACCAAGGGACAGAAGCAAGGCATCTCTGGCTACTAAACGCATTGACCCCTCTCCAAATGTTTGCTTCCCTTCTCTGTGACTTTGAGCGGTGACACTGGGGTTCTATCCTGTAGGATATGCTTTGAGCCAGTGACGGTGCTGCCAGAATTCATGGGTCCGGGCACCAAGGGACAGAAGCAAGGCATCTCTGGCTGCTAAACGCATTGACCCCTCTCCAAATGTTTGCTTCCCTTCTCTGTGACTTTGAACCAAATCCCCTTCGGCTTCAAGTAGCAAGAGTGACTTCTGTGATCTGCAACTTAAGTCCCACTGGTGTGCTTACTGAATTAGCACAGCTCAGGGAGCGGTCTGAGCATCTGTTTTTGTTGTTGTTGTTTGTTTGTTTAAACAAACTATCCAGTGAATCTCAAATTCGCAAAGTTTGAAGTTCACTGATAGACGTTCTTTGCAGTCACTACCAGGTAGGTTACTTCGGGTGAAGAGCCTTAAAGGACACTTCGCCCAGGCCATGGGGAAGCTGGATGCTCCACTCCTGCTCCACAACAGGGACGCCTCTCTAGTGATGGGAATTTGACTCTAGAATGTGTGTGTGTGTGTGTGTGTGTGTGTGTGTGTGTGTGAGAGAGAGAGAGAGAGAGAGAGAGAGAGAGAGATGGGGGGAGGATGAGACTGGGAACTGGGTAAAATGAATGATGGCAACTGGACCAAGACTGGGAGGACCTGGATTCCAATCCTGCCTCACTAGCTATGTGGCTTTGGGTAAGTTATTTAAATCACTGTGCCTTGGTTTCCCCACCTGTAACATGAAGAGAATCTATCTTATATTGTTGTTTTGAGGACTAAGCAGGTTAATACTAGTACATACAAAGGGTTAGAAGGGCTATCTAGCATATATTAGGCACAGTGTTAGCTGCTTAAAAACACTTTACCATTCAGAGTATAAAATATTCTCTCTCTTACACACACACACACACACACACACACACACACACACACACAGTATCATTTGAGCTCTTTCAAAACAACTCTTGGCCCTGACCAGGCATCTCAATTGGTTAGAGCATCATCCCAATATGCTGAGGTTGGGGGTTTGATCCCTGGTTAGAGCATATACAAGAATCAACCAGTGACTGCATAAATTAGTAGAACAACAAATCAGTCTCTCTCTCTCTCCCTCCCTCCCTCCCTAAATAAATCAATAAATAAAAATTTTAAAAAATAACTCTGAAGGCAACCAAGGCCCAGAGAGGTTAAGGGACTTCCCCAAGGTCACAAAGTAATTAATTAACAAAAGCATGTCTGTAATGGGGACTAAGGACTCAAACCTGATTTTTCCTGTATTCTGAGTGCAGGGCCTAAGCCACATCTGACCCCAAGGATGTCACACAGAGCTCTGCACCCTGTGGGCCTTGAGAGGGAGGTGACTCATCCATCACCTATAGTTCTAGAAATGGTGTGTGCTAGAACTGTGTGACTGCGTTAACATTTTGCCCCTCAATTTCTTCCTAATGTTCTTCCCCGAAATGGCTCTTAGACTCCAGGTCCCCATGGAAACCTCAGGAAAGACTGCCTGCTGACTCTCAGTGAAATTCTGCTACAACTGCTTCCTTGATAACAAATGGATGTTATTAAAAGCCTGGCCCCAGCAGACGCCTGTTGTAGCTCATGGCAAAAGCCACATTTTCCTTGGACTGAGAGGGTGAAAGAGGCAGTTCACTCCCTAGCGCTAGGCTACTGTGAGCTTGGAGGGGAGCGGGGAGAGGTAACCGGAGCCCCAGCTGTCACGGTCAGACGCAGGACCGGGTGCTTTCCATACATGTTTACGACAGGGTGCTGGATGAGGTGTCCACGGAGCGTGTGAGTGACACGAATTAAAGCAACGCGTGATCATCTCTGCTATCTGCAGAAGTCATTTGTAATGTGCTTTCCAGACCAAAAGGTGAAAGAGTGGGGCTTGGAGTTGAGGCTTGAAAGATTCCAAAAGAAACCTGTTTGAAAAAGGACAGTGTCATCTAAAAAAAGAAACAAGAGTCAAAGGGATGAATTCAAAGAGCAAGAATTTAGCAGCATTTTCCCAGCATGATCCAGAGATCCAGAGGAGGGAGGCTGGATCTTCCAAATTCCTTTGGGGACAGGAACTGCTTCTGCATTAAATATCTGAGGGCTGTTTGGGGAGTACCTACTGTGTCACCCTGTACTGGGCAGCAGCAGGAGAGGGGAGAATAAGGCAAAGAGAGAGCTCCCAGTCTAGTGAAGGGAGATTTTTTAAAAAAGGCTTTAAAACAAATATATATACACGATAATTTCAGTTAGTGATAACTGCTATGAAGGGGGGTGGGGCGGGGGAAAGTAGTTAAGTAGCCTGATGTTGATTTGGGGCGATCGGCTTTTGATAACTGATCAGAGAAGGATCGGCTCAGTTGGAGATGAGACTTGAATGTCAGGGAAATGTCAGCCACAAGAAGATAGAGGGGAAAAGGAACTTGTGTCTGAACCCTGAATAAGGACAAAGTTCACTTGGCTAACTTCCCACAAGGCTCCTGAACCTCATGCAAAACAAGAGATATAAATGGACATCTGTTTTCAGGGTTCCTGAACATTCTGTGAAGGACAATAATTCCACAAATATTGTGGGGCACTTAGAGGGAGGCTTGCATGAGCACAGAGAATCTAACTCCACATGGTACCTCACCAAGTCTTATTTCCAACCCAGTCAAGTGTTTGAATGAGCATTACAAGTGTTTGAATGAGCACTGTATTACTTAGAGAAGGAGGGCTGAATCAAGAGTCATCAATAATTCTGTGACTTAAAAAACACACACACTTTTGCCTCTTAATGAACAGTTAGCTCCACACTATACTTTTCAGGCAGGTATGCAACTCGGCTCCACAGGATCATTCAGGAATCCAGGCTGATGGCGGCTCTGCTATCTTCAGTAAATAACTTGTGAGGTCGTTCTAGTCATCACCATTCCATCCAGGAGAAAAGGGGGAAACGGTAAGAGGAGTAGGCAGCAATGCTTCACAAGCCGGCCCTGTAAGCGGCACATCTTTCCCCTTACAATGGTGAGAACCTGGTCACATGGCCACACCTAACTGCAAAGGAGACTGGGAAATGCGGCACAGCAGCCGCAGACCGGTATAACTCTTTTACTCCAGAACAGGGACAGCAAAGTAGAGCCAGAGGGTCAACTCCTCAAACCCCCTGCTTCTGTAAACAAGGTTTTACTGGAGCACAGCCATACCCGTTCATTTTTATACATTCCACGGTGGCTTTACCTGCTACAAAGGTAGAGCTGAACAGTCCTGACAGAGACCTTAAGGCAAGGGTCTTCAAACTACGGCCCGCGGGCCACATGCGGCCCGCCGAGCTGACTCGCGGGCCCGCAGTGCACATGTGTGGAATGTCTGAGGGACAGTGAACTGGCCCCCTGTTTAAAAAGTTTGAGGACCTCTGCCTTAAGGCCTGCAAAGCCTAAAATATTTACTCTATGGCCCTTTATAGAAACTTTTGCTCTCCCCTTTTTCAGGAAAAAATACAACCTAGAATGGATTCGGTGGGACAACTAGCAGTCTACACTTTCAAAATATATCTCAGAAATTGTTATAAAGACACAAGGACGCCCTAGCTGGTTTGGCTCAGTGGCTAGAATCTCGTCCTGAGGACTGAAAGGTCAAGGGTTCGATTCTGGTCAAGGGCACATGCCCAGGTTGTGGGTTCAATCCCCAGTGTGGGGCATGCAGGAGGCAGCCGATCAATGATTCTCTCTCATCATTGATGTTTTTATCTCTCTCTTCTCCCTTCCTCTCTGAAATCAATTTTATATAGATATATATATAAATGAAATTGTTAAAAAAAAAAAAAAGACACAAGGACAAAAATATTCCTTGAAGCATTTCATGCCATATCAAAAGGCTAAAAACAACTTATAAAGAAAGGACTGTTAAATGAAGGACCATGCATACCACAGAATACTATGTAACTTTTTTAAAGAATGAGGAAGTTCAGCATGTACTGATTAGAAAAATACCCAAATATATTAACTTTAAAAAGTAAAATTCCGAACAGTTTATTTAGAATGTTGCCATTTGTGGGGAGAATAAAAAACAGAACCTAATACATAATAAAAAATGCTTACATGGGCATAATAAAACTCCTGGTACAATATAAAAGAAACTGAAAACAGAAGTTGTTTCTGGGTAGCAAAGTCAGAAAATTGAAGGACAGAGTGGAGGGAAGTTTACTTTTCACCATATACCCTTTTATACTTTTGAATTTGTACAATGTGTATGTACCATCTATTTTCCAAGTCATTAATTAAAAATTATCCTGGCTCGTGTGGCTCAGTGATTGTCAACCCATGCACCAGGAGGTCAGGGTTCAATACCCAGTCAGGGCCATGACCGGGTTGCAGGCTTGATCCCAGTGGGGGGAATGCAGGGGGAAGCCGATCAATGATTCTCATCATTAATGTTTCTCTCCCTCTCCTTTCCTCTCTCTGAAATCAACAAAAATATTTAAGAAATTAAATGGAGAACAAACACAAAAGAGTTTGCCATTATTTCCATCCTGATCAACCCCTCTTCTGAAAGGCATAATCTTTCTTAAAAGTCATGGCAACGTCTTCAATCAGGAATAGTCAGTGCTGACTAGGGAACCACTTTATATTTCTATATTTGCATCCCTGTTCCACTGTATGTCACATGTTCAGATATACTTTATTTCCCTTATTTTCATAGTCAACTTACAAACTGTATTTCAGCCCCCTGCTTTCTTGAAAGTTCCTCTTTCCAGGCAGTATTTATTCCGTTCACTCACATATGTTGAATATAAAAAGAAACAAACCTGACCTCAGAGAAAAATTAAGCACCAAAAGACAAAAGTAAAAGTTGCTAAGCCTGATAAAATAAACAGCTTTGAACAAAAATCTTGTAAGGGAACCAACCCACCTTTCAGTTCAAACTGACAGTGATCCAATTCACACACGCTGACGAGAAAAGGGAACCCGCTGGCTTATGTAACTGGATAGCTCAATAGTTGGAACTGGCTTGAAACACAGACAGATCCGGGCACTCGGAAATGTCCTTGGAGCTATGGCTCTGCTCAGTACTGCTGGGTTGTACTCTGCAGTCAGGCCCTTGTCCTATGGCAGCAAGAAGCCCACAGACTCCCAAACCCCCAGGTTCCTAGCTTAGCAATCCCGATGGAGAGAGAAGGCTCTCTCGGAACTCAACACAGCAAATCTGGAGACGACTGTACCAGGTCATTCTTAGACTTGTCCAAGGCTGGGTTCCATGCCTGGCCCAGTTCAGGCTATATGTATGCCTTTACCTATGGGTCCCCAAAACTACATGAAATGTGCAAAGAGGGGTTCCCCAAAAGGCACTGTAGAAGTGCTAAGTAAACAGAAACAGTGAATGTCCTCTATTCTACTTACAAGTGAAGACTATGGCCCCTGGATATTTTAGAACTACATGAAATGTGCAAAGAGGGGTTCCCCAAAAAGCACTGTAGGAGTGCTAAGTAGACAGAAACAATAAATGTCCTCTATTGCTACTTACAAGTGAAGACTATGGCCCCTGGATATTTTAACAGGCTTAAAATGATACACCTTGCTCCTACCCTGGTTAGGGGACAGGGTTTTTCAACTTCAAGGCAAGGTAGCAGAGAAGGTCAAACTACCACACACACACACTGTCTGATTTGTCTGCACTAGACATAATTTTGAATACCATAGAGAAAACCTGCTTATACATTAGAAAAAAAAAAGCAATTTGTAAATCAGATGACCATCCTTTGGTCCCTCGGAAAACATTTCGTTCAGGACAAAGTATTTCCATGGTGCAGCCTGCCAAATTTTATCTTCTTCATTTTAGCCACATACTTTTCAAATCACCATTTGAAGGTCAACAAGATATACAAGTTTGAGGTCTATATTTAGCTCTAAATTATAAAGTAACTTAAGAGGTTGTATTTGTATTCCTCTAACAAACATTCATTCACTTTCTCCCAGAATCTTCCTGGTCAGCTGAAACCAATGGGTACCTGATATTTCCTTAGATTGGTTGATCCTTGAGAAAGTCATTTCAGTTGTCCCTCCACAAGGGACAAGGCAGGAAGTTTATATTGAAGTTTTTTTTTAAAGCAGAAAACTCATTTAAGATCAAAAGCTTGGGCATCCTAGCTATAAGAAATTACTTATTTTTTACAGTAGAATCAGGAAAACATAAATGAGAGCTGCCGCTATATGCTGGATTAATGCCAAACGTCTTTTATTTGGAATTATATGATGAAAGCCAAATCTCCAACACATCTTCAAGAAGGAAGATTGATAAATGTATTTTTTTAATATTTTTTTATTGATTTCAGAAAGGAAGGGAGAGGAAGAGGGAGATAGACACATCCATAATGAGAGAGAATCATTGATCGGCTGCCTTCTGCACACCCCCTACTGGGGGTCGAGCCCAAAACCCGGGCATGTGCCCTTGACCAGAATTGAACCCGGGACCCTTTAGTCTGCAGGCCAATGCTCTATCCACTGAGCCAAACCAGCTAGGGCTGATAAATGTATTTTAAAGCCATAGTTCCCATCTACAAATAAGAATATTCTTGGGCATCTCTCAGGTCATCAAAAATGACACAAAATCTTTAAAATCAAAATTAATTTTAAATCAATTTTATTTTTTTTAAAAAACACATACAAATAGGCCAAACTACATTCAAACCTGAGAGAGCTATAATCCTTTTAAAGAACTTAATAGTCCAAAAAGACTAATACTTACTGCTGATTCAGTTCACAGTATC